TTGAAATAAGGCCTCCACTTACGACGTAAGCAAACCAGCCCTTTTGGCACATCGGCTGGGACCGTATGCTGAATGTTGGGGAGGGGATGGGGTCCCCAACGGTCGACGGTTTACTTCAACTCGGTTGGTACGATAGGAGAGTACTGACGCAAGTGGTGCAGCTGGTCCAGTAGCTTCGCCAGAAGGACCGGTCTGCTCACCCTTGGACTAAGCCTAGGAGAGGGGACGGACCCGTCCTCTCTTTAAGGCTTAGTTCTAAGGTAAGCGCCAAATTGTGGCGGTTCTAAGGACCGCGTTGAAGTTGTCCGTCCACCGTCGGGGACACCATCCCCTCCCCAACATTCAGCATACGGTCCCAGCCGATGTGCCAAAAGGGCTGGTTTGCTTACGTCACGTCCTCTATAACAGGTTCTTAGTCAAGTTATTACGTATGCCCATATCCCTGCGTGTATAATACGTGAAATAACTACCTTCTACAGAAGCAAAGCCTTGTTATATTTTCGATGAAACGTAAAAATTTTGATCACCGGTTAACGGACGATCTTCACCAGGAAGACCACACTTGAGATTATTTTCCACAAGTCCGAATCGAGAGATCCTTCGAGGTCGCTGCGCGGCGTTGCGACATTTGAGGGATAGTTGGCAGCGCCTCTTTTACTGCCTGCGCCCTCTCATTGATAGTCCTAGCTCTACCCGTCACTTCTATGGGTCGACTGGTTACACTTCCCCTCCAATTCTATGTAAACACCAGCTCATTTTTGCGGAAACGATGCCGCCGTTTTTTTGGATAGTATAGGGCAGCCAAAAAGTCCAACACCATTTTTCCATTCTCACATTTTTCTTTATTTTCTTTTACTAACCTTTCGTACTTCTCCATCATCTTCAATTAAATTATAGGCGGATATTTCGGCAATGAACAGTACACCACTGACATTATCAAAGCAATGAATCCATTTCCGTTGTTCGGATCGTTGTCCACCGACATCGACCATCCTGCAAATTCCGTAGTTGCACAAAACACTTGTGAGGTGACCGAATATTTTGGTCACAAGGCTTCTGTCAACCAAAGGGTGAGAGTGTAGATGGAATGTTTTGTGTACTACTAAGACTGGGAGGCGGTCATATGGCGCGATCCCATTGGCATTAGAGCGCACAGTATCCAGGACAACTCGTCCGTATCACACAGCTGCTAGACTTCAGCAATTGATCGATGTGATAATTTGGGCCCTCAAAAATCTCGCTGAGTCCCAAAGATCTAAAAAAGAGTGGGTAGCTTCGTTGGCCTGATGCCAAGGCAAGAGGAACGGAACAGAATGTGTTGCGCGGACGAGTTGTCCGGCCACAGCAGGATGTGGTAATTACGGCCTGTGCGCTCCAATGCCAATGGGATCGCGCCATATGACGCACACCCCTAAGACTAATTTTCTAATGGAAATAAAGAAAGCGAAGATTCTGTAATAGTGTGCATGTGTGAGAGCTACCAGACAGCACTACAAAATGCTGACTGCCTAGCCTCACGGTTGACAGAAACCCTTAGACGCTGTTTATTCAGCTAATTAGTACTTTCTTTTAACCCCTATTCCCCGAGGTGTGCGCCCTCGATACTATCGTTCTCTTTCCCCCTTTCCGTCTCCACCTTCCCCTTGAGGTGAATGAATCTAACCAGGAAGGTCTTTCAGGGCGTGACGAGCTTTTTGAAAACGGTCTTTTGCATGATATAGGGGCAGATGCGGGAACCACAGAACCATGTTCAATTTTTCCTGAACGGCCCTCTGAATACCAGAAAAGGAGGTCCCTAGTTCGATTCCTCGTGGTAACAAATTTTTGCATTTCGAGTTGACGTGCCAAAATTCGCGCAAAATGGAGTTAGAACCAACCAGAACAATCAGAACTCCATTTTGCGCGAATTTTGGAACGTCAACTCGAAATGCAAAAATTTGTCACCAAGAGGAATCGAACTAGGGACCCCCTTTTCTGGTATTCAGAGGGCCGTTCAGGAAAAATTAAACATGGTTCTGTGGTCCCGCATCTGCCCCTATATCATGCAAAAGACCGTTTTCAAAAAGCTCGTCACAACCACAAGCCTGAAGACGCTTCCGGTATAGATAAGGTGAGCACTAGTCGCCAGAGGCCTTGGTTGCCTCCTGTGGCGCAACCCTGGGCTCGATAGGAGAGGAACGAGGAAAGGAAATAGTAAGTGAGAACGAAGTAGAGGGGGTTACTATTTCATTCGAATCAGCTCACCTCAGAACAACGTGCTTGTAGCTGAATTCGATCTCGTTGATTCCAGACGTCGGCACTCGAGCTCTGATCACGTCCATTTCATTAGCGCGTAATCAGTGCCACTTAATTCGTTCCAAGTCATTCAAAAAAGCTGAATAATAACACATGAAATGTAAATGTGTTGTATGGTTTAAAGTGAATGCGAGCGCTGGGCGGCTGGAGGCCGCAAACATTCAAAATTGGACGGTGTTCTAGGATCAGAACTTTAGGTCACACCAGTCCTGCGCATTTTTTTTTTTCGGATTTTTGACCAAATGATCTACGTAAGTGTACTGGGCGCGAATAGCACCGTTCGCAAATCTTTGCAAAGAATTCAATGCGCATGTCAAGTATTAGCGGCATGACGCGTGTTGGCGCATAACCCGGTTGGGACTCGGTTAGTAGCTCGCAGTTACAGTCTGCGCTTTCGTGACTTGGAACCCACTAATCATTGTGATCGTATTACATACTTTGGGGAGGTCTTTTGTCCACAGTGCACTTATCGACACGGCTCTGCCCAAATGGGGGGAGGTGGGGTTAGCACCTAGACGAAGTTTGTTCTAGTCATTCTGGACATTAGCGGAATGGGTTAGATTTGTCTGAACGGATACCGATCCTGAGCGTTGAGAAATTGCAATCGGCGATCGCTGCAAAGCGCTACCATTCGCATTACGGGAACATATAGTTATACTCACTATTCTGCTGAGTCGAGCAGCTCAATTTCGTCCTTTCCGTAACAGAGTACTTTTCATGAATTGAGAGTTGTAAATTATAGAAATCGCTCGTGATAACTCCAGGCTTAGTTCGAATCTCAGATGGCTGACTGCTCCTTAAACCACCGAAGAAATTCGACGAGCTTGCTGAAATTAACAAATAGCTTTAAAAAATGTTCAACGAGTAGTAACTGGCTTTCATTCAGTATATCACATACAGGAGGGGCAGAAAAAAAAGACATTTTGCTCAGGTCACACTTCGGCTTTTTTTTTCTTCGCAAGATTGCCGTCGCTGACGGAAGTTCCTCAGCAAAAATATTTCTAAATGTCCCTCTATAAAAACACGCAGGCCCCTCCTCACTAACCCTCACCGTCTTCAGAGAGTATGACGTCATCTGTCACCGTCGTCGAGCTCAGGGAGGCCTACAGTAACTGCTTCAGCCTGAAGCTCTTACATAATTTCTTGGATCGATTCAACGTGGGATAGTTTCCTAGGGACATTAGCTCTAACTATGCAAACCCCCTCGGAACCCGCGCCTTCGGAACCCGTCGTAACGGTAACATCGACACCCATTGCTCGACCCAGAGCAACCAATGTTACGGGGCAACCTTCCTAATCCGCTCCACGGTAGATGCCACTTCTGAAGATTTTCCTTATAAGAATCGAAATGCGCTCCTTCTATAGTTCTGTCGTTCTTCAGTTCTAAGTTGGCAGCACACGCTTTGAGCTGAGCAAAGTGTGAGTAAAGTCATTTGAGTCTGGAGACAAAATGTCGCTTTTTTTTTACCGCCCCCCCCCCTTGTAGATTGAGAAAACAAAGTGTTGATAATGGTTGGGAGGAGGGAGAAATTATGTGCTGATTCGATCTTCCCATTGACAAGTTGCCCACAGGACCAATGGTATTGCTCCGCAAACCACGCCCATCAGATGGCTCCACCCAGCTCTTCGATTCAGACCATCTATCTAATTAAACCTCTGTAGACGACATTGGTCTATAGCTATTGTTACTGGCAGGGCACATGTGATACGATAAGGGAATCATTGCAATCGCGCTGTCATGACCTGTGGATTTGTGTAGAATGCAGACTGCGCCCACCAGCCCGCGTCTCATGCACGACAAATTTCTGGCTGTCGTGTGGATTCTGTGTATCGAAATTATGGTCACTTTAGCAAAAGTCCAAGGCGGATAACGAAGTCTCGGCTGGATTCTCAGCTTTCTATTCATAGTGAGGCAGGTGTCAGACTCTTGCGTTCGCAGTAGCCATTCACTATGCTGCGAGCGGCGTTGGAGCATGGATGCCCTGACCACCTTGCCACAATGATCACCGTTACACACTATGCAATTAATAGATGTGCTATTAACATGTTGCGCGTGACACAAATATGACTGCGGCACTCGCGGCGAGTGCAATCGCGCGCGCGTAATCGCGAGCTAATCGCAAAGTCTGACACCTCCGCTCTTGTTGAAGCTCCAACATGCAAAACCACAAATGCATAAACGTTGAAATTAACGTACCATTAATCTCTCATTATCATCAGGCGAATATTGGAATTGTTCGGCAGCCGCTAATAATTGAGTGATCGCTTGTACAACATTACTATGAACCAGATAACGGAAGTTCACATAGTCGGCGTCGGTGAAACCGTTCATATGAAGGATTCTGTCAAATTTTAGTTTATCAAAATTGAACTTGGAAATTTCTATGCAACAATTCACATCCCACAAACAAGGGGTTTCACCCAGTACGGGGGGCATGTGGTGCGACAGCTGCTCCTGCCTACAGAAATTTGAATTTTAGCAGGATACGGAACCCCCGTGGCACATAAACCATTTCATTTTCTCCTTTACATCCAATTCGGAGCCTCCCTGCTCTGCGAAAAACTGCATTATTTTAGCCGATATGAACTGTCGCACCGCATGCCCCCTCCTCCACCCCTCCCGTTATTCGAAGGTTTGGCGTCGAGCCAATCAATAACTCACTTCATTTGCTTGAATATCGTACTCTTTCCCGAACCTGGACCACCTGAAATTGGAAGTATTTTCGCAAAAAAAAAAGATTTTGCCAAATTATTTGGTCCTCATAAGTGTAAATAACCCAATAATCAAGTACACTAACCTAACAACAGAATTTTCAACGTTTTCTTCTGTAATTGTCTCTCCTTCTCAATTTGTGCTTCAATCAGTTGATTCTGCCTGTATTGATATTTCGGGTCACCATCAGCCACACGATTTCTGAATAAGCTAGAATTTTTTTAGGAAAACACACAAGAATATGTGAGCCAGTCTAATTCAGGTGACAATTCGCGTCGTGTTCGCAACACTTGGCAGTGGAGCGCGCGGATGCGTCGCGTTTGACCAAAGTAAGGCACCAAATCACCCTTGCGGTCTACTGTAAATATGTAGAGCACAATCAACTAAAGTTTCATCCATTTTTCAAGTCTCTCATAAACATTTTTGAACGCATTTTTATCGTGAGAAATAAATTCTGAAACTTCGTGTCCAAATCCCATTTTTCTATGGCAAAAGACGGTAGCCGGCAATAGAGTGTGTAGTAAGAGGTCACCGCGCGACGTCGCGCACACTTGCATTTTGAATTTTCGTCGAACGAGCTGATACGCGTGTCCCCCGTAACATGCCAAACGCACCGCGCCTGCATCTAACCCTGACGCCAGCTTTGTATTTCCGCAGTGAAAACAAGTGCTCACTGTCGTTTAACCCTTCTATTTGGCGCGAAAATTTGAAAGGGGAGCTCTGCGCGACGTCGCGTAGTGACCATTTGCTAAACACCCCCAATTTCCTGTGTTTCCTTTGAATAATATAGGCCTAATAACTTGAGAGGATGGTATTTTTGAGTAGTGTCTAATCCACTAGAAAGGTTGTGCAATCTTTGGTGTTCTACCACCTTTCACTACAATCATTAGGCGATTTTCGAACGGGTGACTAACTAATGTTGCACTATTATTTATTAATGCCATATTTCAGCATAATGAGTGAGTCATTAGAGCACATTCTTGTACATCTAATTTTAGCGAAAATAAATCACAACAAATTACTTCGGTGATACTTAAGTAAATACGGTAAATAAAGTTATAAAATTACAAGGACACCAACATGAACGCGTAATGCACTTCTTGGAGCTAATCTAATATTCATGTTTTATGCTCCATGTCGTCATAACACAAACCTTAGACGAGAATATGCTTTTTTTCGCTAGATTCTTCATTAGTATACGGTGAGCCGCGTATAGGGAAAACCTGACAAAGTCGCCTCCACCTCCCTCCACGTCCAATTGCGTTCCCCCACCACCTCCACATTCGACTCACTCTCACCAATCTTCCGTGCGTCATCTATGGCCGGTGTCAGACTTTGCGAATCCAGCGATTCGCTAGCGAGTCGCGCGGCACGAGCGTTGCACCAGCGGTTCGAACGATGTGCCAGCGATTCGACACTGTAGAAGTGGCGAGAGCCAACGTACAAACAAGAAAAAGTCCCGCCACTTTCAAACACTGTCGATTTGCTGGCGCATAGTTCGAACCGCAGGTGCAACATTCACAACATGCGATTCGTTAGCGAATCGCTGGATTCGCAAATTCTGACATAAGGCCATTTGTGGGTGAAGGAAGGGGGGGGGAGGTGCGGGTAGACGCAAAAAATATCAAAGATTCAAAGAAATTACATAAAGGATTGAAGTGCTTGATAGAGAAAAATTCCTTCATATTCATATTGACCATTCGGAAAATTGTGAGGGCCAGGGATGCATGAGACAGTATTTTCATCTTGGGCAGGCACATTCAGCTGCACCAAATCCATCAAAGAGAGCTACGGTCAGGGCCGTCGTCACTTGTGTTGTGTGGTCTGCACCCGACGCTCTTCTCGTTTTTTGAATGAGAGTGTACATGTCAGTTTTTTCTCAGTCCATCGTTTCAAACCAATCAATTCCAAAAGCATGAAAGGTTTTCTTGCCTTGGGCGGAATTCTATCTTCGGTGAAAATGTAGTTCGGGGGGGGGCACCCTATCTAATCGAAGTGAAGCTGCGAAAGACACTCATATCTAATCAAAGTAGAGTTGCGGGAAGGCACTTATATCTTATCATATCTTTCACTAAGACCGTGACCACTGGACTAGTACGC